AAAAAACACATGTATTATTCTTGGATCAAATGTAAACATTCATACTTGCCATGGGTTTTTGGCCTTTATTAAAAATATAAAACTGCTAAGGAAAGATTGGATTTTATCTTCAAATTCTGTAACTTGCTTTCAGTAATCTTTTATCTATAGAAGTATTGTCAAAATACTAGCTATTTTGGACCAGATATACCTATTTGGTATAAATATGAAACTGCTATTGCTAGTTTTCTGTGGCTAGTTTCCCAAGAAATCAATCCATAACCCCTGGAGCATCAGAGATAATGAAGTCTACCTATGAATACATTTAAAAAACACAATGGTTTTGCTGAAGTCCTGGTGTGGCACTGTGTGATGAAGCACTGGACAGCAAGGTCCATAAGCCTGGCGGTTTAAACTCACCAGTTCCTCCTTTGAAACTCTATATACTGTCGCTATGAGTCGGAACCAACTTGACAACACTCAACAACAAAAACAACACAATGCTTATGCCTATAAAACATTGACAACATAATTGTTTGTGTGTAATTGCTGTTTTAAATCATTTAGGATTTTGGAAGCTCACATTTTATCAGCTGTCTTGTTTACTAAAAAAATTTCTCATCAGAAACACCTTATTCATAGATCTTAATTACGGGCTTGGCATAACTAAAAAATCATAGTAGAGAGGAAAGTAAGAAAGCTGATGGAACTCAGACCATTCCCAAGGCTTTACAGGAAATTCTAAATTCCTGATGGGGGTTGTAGGATAAGCACTGGACTGCTAACCACGAAGTTGGTGGTTCAAACCCACCAGCTGCTTCATGGAAACTCTATACAGGGTTGCCATGAGTTGGAACCCACCCTATGGCACTTAACAACAGCAACACAGGCAATTCCCAGTAAGGTGGGACTTTCAGACAACTGATACTTGTCCTTTATATTATGTAAATTTGATTATCACTTTGAAATTTTGAATCAACCTCTACTCACAACAATTCTTCATCACAGTCACCTTCATTTGCTGCACTGCAGCTTTTAAAATCAGTGAGAAGCCTTCCTGCCTATTCTTGCCTAACCCTAGCCACTCTTGTATAGGGTTTTTGGTGGCTGTAAATCATTATGGGAACAGGTAGTCCTCATCTTTCTCAGGCAGGATAGGTTAGGTTTGAACTGTTGACCTTATCAAACGATTAGCAGTCCAGTGCTTATCATAAAGAATCAGTGTTGTTAAATGCCGCTGAATTGGTCCGACTAATGGCGTTGTTAAGTGCTGTCGAGTGGGTTTGAACTGCTGACCTTGCGATTTGTAGTCCAGTGCCTATCCACAGCGCCACACCAGTAGTCCAAAGAATCACTTTGTTGTTGTTGTTAAGTGCCGTCGAGTTGGTTCCGACTCATAGCAACCCTGCACAGGGTTTCCGAGGCTGTAAATCTTTACGGGAGCAGAAAGTCTCATCTTTCTCCCACGGAACAGCTGGTCGTTTCGAACTGCTGACCTTGGGATTAGAGGCCCGATTCGCACCAGAGCTCCTTAAAGAAGCACTAGCGCTCCTTTTTTTCTTGTATTTTGTGGCGCTGTAGGATAAGCACGGGACTGTTAATCGTAACGTCCATCCTATATAGGGTCGTTATGCAGGGTCACTATGAGTTGGAGTCCCGGTGTGGTGTTGTGGGTTAATGTGCTGGACTGCAAAGTCGGTTTGAACCACAAGATCGGCGGTCCAAGCTCACCAGCTATTCCTTGGAAACCGTACACAGGGTCACTATGGGTCCGGAACCCACTCGACGGCAGTTAACAACAACAACGAGTCGGAACCGATTCGAAGGGACTAAACAACAAAGTAAGCCTAAATAAGAACCATTTTTGTTTTTTATTCTCACTGGTGTGGCACCGTAAGATAAGCAATTGACCGCAAGGTAGGTTTGATTTGCAAGATCGGCGGTTCAAAATCACCAGCTACCTCTTAAAGGTAAAGTTTTGCTAAAGGTAATACAGAAACGGCTACAATCATACATTGACAGAGAATTTCCAGAGGTTCAAGCTGGATTCAGAAGAGGTCGTGGAAGGAGAGATATCATTGCTGATGTCCGATGGATAGTGGCTGTAAGCAGAGAATACCAGAAGGATGTTTACCTGTGCTTTATTGACTACGTAAAGGCTTTCGATTGTGTGGATCATGACAAGCTGTGGACAACATTGAGAAGTATGAGTATTCCAGAACACTTAATTGTACTTCTGAGAAATCTGTACCTAGACCAAGAAGCAGTTGTTTGAACAGAACATGAGAACACTGAATGTTTTAAAATTGGGAAAGGTGTGAGACAGGGTTGTATTCTTTCACCATACTTATTCAACCTGTATGCTGAGCAAATCATCAGAGAAGCTGGGTTCTATGAAGAAAAACGTGGCATCAGGATTGGAGGAAGACTCATTAACAACCTGCGATATGCAGATAATACAACCTTGCTTGCTGAAAGTGAAGAGGACTTGAAACATTTACTTATGAAGATCAAAGAGCACAGCCTTCGATATGGATTACATCTCAATGTCAAGAAAACAAAAATCCTCACCACTGGACCAATAAACAACATTCTTATCAATGGAGAAAAGATTGAAGTTGTCAAGGACTTCTTTCTTCTTGGATCAACTATCAACACTCGCGGAAGCAGCAGTCAAGAGATCAGACGACGTATTGCACTGGGCAAATCTGCTGCACAGGAACTTTTTAAAGTATTGAAGAGCAGAGATGTCAGCTTGAGGACTAAGGTGCGCCTGACCCAGGCCATGGTGTTTTCAATAGCCTCATATGAATGTGAAAGCTGGACAGTGAATAAGGAGGATCTTAGAAGAATTGATGCCTTTGAGTTGTGGTGTTGGAGGAGAATACTGAAAGTGCCATGGACTGCCAAAAGAACCAATAGATCTGTTTTGGAAGAAGTGCAGTCAGAGTGCTCCTTGGAGGCCAGGATGGCTAAGCTCTGTCTCTCATACTTTGAACATATTATCAGGAGGGAACAGTCGCTGGAGAAGGATGTCATGCTGGGTAAGGTGGAGGGTCAGAGAAAAAGAGGAAGACCCCTAACGAGATGGATTGGCCAGGTGGCATCATTGATGGACTCAAGTGTGGCAGCGGTAGTGAGGTTGGCCCAGGATCGGACATTATTTCGTTCTGTTGTACATGGGGTCGCTATGAGTCGGTTCCGACTCGATGGCACCTGACAACAACAACCATCTCTCAAAAACCCTATATAAGGTTGCTATGAGTCAGAACCGATTCGACGGCACTTAACAGCAACAACAAAATAAGGCTATATGCACCTGTTCTGATTAAATTACAAATTTCATTTACACAAACTTTTGTTGGCAAGGGGAATTTGGGGAACAATCAGTCAGTATCAAATTTAGAGACCGCGCTCATTCTGATTTTCTATTGGTTAGGGTTACCATCAATCATCTCAGTTGTAAATAAACTAGAAACGGAAGCGTGTTGTTAAGGGAGGGATCTTCCTGCCTGTCGCCATTGCTAAAGTGAGACTTGTTTTCTAATAGGTTGAAACGTTCTTTTTCCGCCCTCTGGTCAGCTGCGGAGGTGCAGGATTCATAAAGTCCTTAAAGGACCGAGTGCTTAAAGCTCCACCCATCTGATTGGTTGTTAGGGGGCGGGTCTTGTAGCGGATAGGCTGACGATCATGCCTGTTTAGGGTTAGTTGCTGGGAAGAGGCACGTGAGGAGGAGGTGGCTTGAGGCGACTATGGCGGGAGGAATGAAAGTAGCAGTCTCGCTGGCAGTTGGTTACGGGCCCTGGCATTTGGGGTTCAGGGGCGGTGGGTCAGTGCGACTGCTTCTGGTTCTCTCCGGCTGTTTGGTCTGCGGAGCAGGTACTGTCAGGGCAGCAGCAGCCCATGAAGCAGATGCCGAGGGGTTTATTCTTAGAAAAGTGGTAATTATCCGGCGGGCGTGGTTCGTTACTCTGTCGGGGGGCGTAGCTAAGTACTAAGAAAGAGGTTTGGTAGGCGGCAAAATGGTCGCTGGGGTTGAGGGTCCAGGTCCTGAGGCACTTTGGGGGAGATACTCAGAGTGGGGAGGAGTCTGGAGCCTTGTGGCGGGCTGCGCCGGGTGTGAGGTGGTCCACGGGGCTGCGAAACGCTGCAGAGGCTTCCTGGTTAAAAGGAAGGAGACCCGGAGGACCGTGCTTGGCCGGTAGTGCTGTCGCAGGAAGGGGAAAATCCCACTTATTCAGCAAAGTAATAAACAATCTATGAACAAACATTCGACCAGGACGAGGGCACAGCTGGCGGATCAGTTCATTCTGGTTAACAAAAATGCAATGGTTTTTATATATCTTCTGCTCTGAAAGATGCGAACGAACTTAAAGGCATGAAATTCCCCCATTAAAAAAAAAAGAAAAAGATATAGATGCTATTTAGCATAGGATAGGTTTTGAAACTTCAAGCAAAGTTATTTATTACCTGTTGCTGGAAAATGGACTTTGGACTGGGATAAAAATTGTTTTTCTTTTCTACTCTTAAAACCCAGAAAACCTAGAGTGTGCTTGTAAAAGCCTCCTTCTACCCTTTTGTTGTTAAACTTAGAATAAAAATAAGTGAGGTTTCCAAGCTTCCGCTGGAGGGAGTTGAAACTCAGGAAAAAAGAAATTTTTATCTTGCAAACACAGGCTGTGTGCTCTCGCCTCGCCCTTTGATTGCTGCCTGTCCCATACTGTCACATGTATTATCCTTAACTGCAGCTTTAAGATCTCAGCATCCCATCCCCATCTAATTCCAAAGCACAGCGTCCTCCTAAAAAAATGTGTTTTAGAGGGAGAGACGGAGGTATCCATGAAGGCACTTTCCAGATACAGATTGACACTTGATGAGTTATTATCAAAATAAACATGGGCCAGGGCTGTAGGGATGAAATGAGAAAATACAACCAAAGTAAGTTCAAGTCCTTTTCTGTTTTAAGTTTTTTTAGTGAAGAGAGGAGCTGAGGAAAGGGTGAATTCAGGAGGTGATATTTTTTCTGTGTTGTCTGATTGCATTGGGGGCAGCTGCAAAGGGACAATCATGTACTAGAGAAAAACTTTCTAAAAGTCAAAGATTATGACTGGAGTAGCTCAAAAAATAGCAAGGTCCTTCTCGCTGAAAGTTTTAAAGTGTTATTATAAAAAGCATGGATGTGTGGCACTGTAGGATATAGCACTGGATTGCTGTCTGAAAGGTTGGTGGTTCAAACCCGCCAGATGTTCCTTGGAAACCCTATACAGTGTCTCTATGAGTCAGGACCGACTCCAGGGTACTTCATCACCATTACTACCACCACCACAGTTAAGTATAAAGAGGTAGGAAAAAAATCTCAATGTATGATTCAGAGACAATCCATCTCAGCACATTTTGTTGTTAAGTGCCATTGAGTCGGTTCTGACTCATAGTGACCCTGTATAATATTTGCAAGGAGCAGCTGATGGGTTTGAACCGCTAACCTTGCAGCTTAAACTGACCTTGTGTTCTAGTGCTTATCCTACAGCACCACACCAGCACATTTAGTTTGGTCTTTTTTCATGTGTCTTTAATTAACATTTTTTGTTTGTTTTAATTGATAATACATTCATATACCAGTCAGTAATCCAATTCCCATTCCTGGAGGCCATCAGTACTTATCAGGGATAGAGGGATAATTTTCTCAATGGACTTTCTAACACAAAAAGTTCTCTATGCTATTTAAAATTCTTCATAAATACTACTTTAATTGTATTACATTCCATTGTATGGACAGACCATTATTAATGCTTTCCCCATTGTTGGTTGAATATTTGTGGTTTCTAGTTTCTCACTGATGTAGGTAGTACTTTGTGAACTTTTTTGTATATTTTATTGTATTTAGAGGTTTTTTTTTTAACCTTTTTTTATTTTGAGTTGGATGAAGGCTTCAGAGCAGATCATCAATTTTACTTAAATAAATCATACACACTTTTCATCTCTTTAATTGCAATCTTCTCAATATAACGTCACTTCTCCCACTTCCTCCCCCTTTTTTATTTTTGTTTCCATTCCTCCTTTCCCAACCCTTCTGAACTTTGTCCTTGTGTAAATGCTGCCCTTTCGATCTCACATGGCCAATCATTCTATGGTGTGTAGACCTCACAAGTGTTGTTCCCTAGGTTTGGCAGTTGAGCCACATGGGGCTTCTTCAGTTCCAGACCTGAAGAGTAACCAGGGGCCATAATTTATGGTTACACTAGGTACTAAAATGAACATTTTGACAAGTTGTATATTTAAGACCATTTACTTTATGTTTCTAAAAATTTAAGCCACAGCTGGTTGTTGTTGCCAAGTGCTGTCAAATCTCTTCCGAATCACAGTGACCCTGTGGGTTTCTAAGAGTTCTTACGGTTTCTAAGGAGCATGCTGGTGCGTTTGAACCACTGACCTTGCGGTCCAGTGCTTATTCTATAGCACCACCCCATAGCTGGAGTGGTGATTGTTTCCACAGCTCACCCTTCTGGGGCTGAATACTTCTCTCAGTGACGTTCCAAATAGGTGGCTGGCCAAGGTGCTGATTTCCATGGGAGGTTTTGGTTAAGAGGCTTTAAAAAAAAAAAAAAAATTCCCTTGTGTAATGTGGAATTCTGGAAAGAAAGAACTGGACTTAAAAAGATGTTAATTCTTATATAAACAGTTTTCTTACCGTACTAAAATGGCATTGGGGAATTTTTAAGTTAGTTTATAAACAATGTCTTCTTTTGGCCTGTGCTGTTGGTGGTGGTTGTGGTTATGTGCCATGGAGTCAGTT